CCCCCCCCTCCGCGCCACCAGCGGCTTCACAGATCGACCAGTGGACCATGACAATTTGAAATTCCTCACGGAATCCAATCAATCCAACTTCTCTATTTCCCTCATTGTATCGCCCACCGAGCGAATAAACGACGAGGTTGAGATTGGAGTACCACCAGTTGTGCCCCACCCTCATTTCCCCCCAAAATTGGGTCCATCCAACGGTACAACAGGTTTCGTTGGAGATACTCTGACCCTTCGAATACTCCTCAATTCAACTTCTGCACTAGCTTTCATTACACTGAGAGAAAAATCTGATGTTCGATTTACAATAAGAAAGTAGTTGAGGCATTTTGGTGAACGATACGATTTTTTTTGTATGCGGCGCATTAACATTATAGTAACTTCACAAGCGTAATTTTTGCAAATCAAAATTTAGTTAAACTAACCAAAGTTCAAAAGTAACCACGACAAATCTATCGTGAGTAGAACTATAAAATAGTTGCAATGACTGCATTCCGTTGTAGTAATTACTTCTCCGGTCATAGTTACCGTAACCCATGACAAATTGTTGAGGACTTTTTGACTGTAATTCGATGGTGACGGAATATAGTCAGAAGAATTATATTTTTCTCTCAGCGTAAACAAGTGGGAAATTGCTTTTGTATTGAATATAGTGTAGCTTTTTTTGGTAATAAATTAGCAATGTGAATAAATAGCAATCAATTCCGAATGGTTATAGTGCACGTCATTTCCTTCTATCATTGATAACAAAAATTCTGGGAATTCTGATTTTCACAAAATACAGAATTCTTAGAAATTTTCAAATAAATCAAAATAACGATTATTACTATCGCCTTCATCTTCAAACTCGGTTAAAAGAGCATCCAAACAATTTTTTTAAATCATCATTCAATCAGTTCAGAAATTTTTTTTAGTTATCGTCAATAACCGATTTTTGAAAAATTTTAAAAATTTTAAAAATTGATAAATGAATTCAATTTTAATTAATGGCGATTGATAGGCCTCAACGATACCTACATTTGAGGAAAAAAAGATTCAATTCCATCGACTCATTAGCGAACAATCGAAGAAAAATTTGTTTATATTCGGTAGCACACGGTTTAAAAATTGTATTTTCGGACTTTTTGGATCATAATGGATCGCTAGACCACGAAAAATCCAAAACTTAAATTTGAAAGATTACAATGCTTCCATTCGGAAGCAAAAATTCTCGGAATTCTGATTTTCAAAAAATACAGAATTTTTAGAAATTTTCAAATAAATCAAAATAACGATTATTACTATCGCCTTCATCTTCAAACTCGGTTAAAAGAGCATCCAAACAATTTTTTTAAGTCAAAATTCAATCAATTCAAAACTTTTTTATAATTATCGTCAAAAACCGATTGTTGAAAAATTTAAAAAAATTTAAAAATTGATAAATAAATTCAATTTTAATTAATGGTGATTGATAGGCCTCAACGATACCTACATTTGAGGAAAAAAAGATTCAATTCCATCGACTCATTAGCGAACAATCGAAGAAAAATTTGTTTATATTCGTAAGCACACGGTCTAAAAATTGTATTTTCTGACTTTTTGGATCATAATGGATCGCTATACCACGAAAAATCCAAAACTTGAATTTGCACGACTACAATGCTTCCATTCGGAAGGAAAAATCCCATGACTCAGCGAAAGATGAATATTTTTCATGGTTTTGAAACGGGAAATACGAATACTAGCTCTTGTCAGCAAATGGGGACACCCATCGACACTCGCTACACCATCCTCTCGGGGATATAAAATAATGTGTATAATGATAATAATTATGGTGGGGATGGGAAGTGCGGTTTGCGTTTTATCTCCCGTAAATATTCCGCCGATCATCGCGAAACGAGTAGGGATAGAGAATTTCTCAAAAGTGTCGTGAAAATACGGAAAGGAAGGGATGGCAAATGGGTAGGCAGCGCGGGTATCCCTCTATCCCCACGTGCAGATCGTATTGGCCCCGTTCTACCTGCGGTACGCCTACCAATATTGGCTGAGACGCGTGGTGAGGCTAAAGTTATAAAGACCACTGGACTGTCCCGTTCAGAGACGCTGGCACTTTCGTGGTAAGACGTCGTCGTCTCGGCCATCCGACGACGCATTTTCAAATTTTTTTATTGCCGTCATCCCCCAGTCCAATTGGAAAGTTACGATCGTGCGGAGAGTCATGTGTTTTTAGACAGAATTGTGGATTTTTTTTGGTTTTTGGGTTCAAACTGAAGACTTTCTTCTTGCTCAATTTTTTTTTCAATTTTAGTCGAGGTAAGTTCGGGTTTTTTTTAATTAGTGATTTTTATTTTATGGGGTGTGAAGATACGTGTGACGAGAGGAATTAATTCAACGGGTTTTACATGCAATTGTTTATGAGTTTATTGCAACGAGAGTGAAATTCTTGAGTATGAATGTTTTTTAATTCGATAAAGTTACGAGGACCACTGGATTTTCAAATATTTAAACATTTTTATTGTCATCATCCCTCAGTTCAATTGGAAAGTTACGATCGTGCGGAGAGTCATGTGGTTTTAGATAGAATTGTGAATTTTTTGGGGTTTTTGGGTTCGAACTGACGACTTTCTTTTTGCTCAATTTTAAAAAAAATTATTTTATGGGGTGTGAAAATACGTGTAATGACAGGAACGAATTCAACGGGATACGCATGCACTTGAGGGAAACCCGTTGACCCGTTGACGGGTTTGCATTGCACTTGTTCTTGAGTTTACTACATCGAGAGTGAAATTCTTGAGTATGAATATTTTTTAATTCGATAAAGTTATGAGGACCACTGGATTTTCAAATTTTTAAACATTTTTATTGTCATCATCCCTCAGTTCAATTGGAAAGTTACCATCGCGCGTAGAATCATGAGGTTTCAGATAAAATTGTGGAAATTTTTGATTTTTTGCTTAATTTTTTCGAATTTTAGTCGAAGTAAGATCAGGTTTTTTTTAAATTAGTGATTTTCATTTTATGGATTGTGAAAACACGTGGGAAAACAGGAATTAATTCAACGGGTTTCGCATGTACTCGTTCATGAGTTTACAGCATCGAGAGTGAAATTCTTGGATATAAATATTTTTTAATTCGATAAAGTTACAAAGACGACGCATTTTCCAATTTTTTTTATTGCCATCACCCCTCAATCCAATTGGAAAGTTACGATCGTGAGAGGAGTCACAAGTTTTTAGATAGAATTGTGGAATTTTTTGGCTTTTTGCTCAATTTTTTCGAATTTTAGTCGAAGTAAGATCGGTTTTTTTTTCAACTAGTGATTTTCATTTTATGGATTGTGAAAACACGTGGGAAAATAGGAATGAATTCAACGGGTTTCGCATGCACTCGTTCATGAATTTACAGCACCGAGAGTGAAATTCTTGAATATAAATATTTTTTAATTCGATAAACTTACAAAGACGACGTATTTTCCGATTTTTTTAATTATCATCACCCCCCCCCC